TTTCATCTAGGGTGCTTCTCTCCCAAGATAAGCATAACAACATTTGCTTAACAATGACCAGAGTCTCATAATATCAAAGTGCTTAGGATAAAATCCTAATTATTTAGCATAACAAATAAACATAAAAATCCTTAGAGAAATGTCAACAGATGCTGTGGGGATGAAGCACTTTGGAATTATTTGACAAAGACTTTAAAATGGTTGTTATGAATATTTTCCCATAAGTGAAATAGAATAATCTTGAAAAACACAGAATGTCTCAGTAAAGATATCAGATACAAACAAGAACCAAGCAGTGAGAAGTGACTGAGCAGTGACTTTCTAAGAGAAAGCAATGTAATATAGTCCATTAATAGTTTATAGAGAAAAAAATCTACTTCACTACAGAATTAATGATACAGGAAATACACAGAAAATAAATCTTTATCTATTCATGATAAAACTCAGAACAAGCTTACAAAGTAATTTCCTGGGGCCACCACTGTGGGGTAGTGGGTGGAACTGCCATCTGTGACACAAGCATCCACTCTAAGTGTGGGTTTGAGTCCTGGCTGCTATACTTCCGATCCAGCTCCCTGCTAGTGTGTTTGGGAAAGCAGTGGAAGACAGCCAGTTGTTTGGTTCCCTGAAACGCATAAGATAGACCCAGAAGAAGCTCTGGGTTTCTGGTTTTGATCTGGCCCAGCTCTGGTTTTTGTGGCCATTTGGAAGGTGAACCAGTGGATGGAAGATCTCTTTTTCTTTTTCTCTCTCCCTCTTTCTTTCTCCATAACTCGGTCTTTCAAATCAATAAAGTCTCAAAAAAAAAAAAAAAAGTAAATTTCCTCCATCTAATAAAGAGGCTCTACAATAACTTAGTAGTGAACATTCCACTTCATGGTGAAAGAATGAATGCTTCTTCTGAGATTACAAACAAGGCAAGGATGGATTTTTTTCTTCTACCATTCCTGTCTGTTTAACTAGAAGGCCAAGCCAGTACAAAAAAGTCAAGAAAAATGAAAAGGGCACATGATGGGAAAAGAAGAAACAAAACTGTACTTCTTCCAAGACAACATAAGGGGCTGATGGTGTGGCAGGTTAAGCTGTTGATTATGATTCCACACTACTCTACTTTTGACCTAGATTCCTGTTAATGTGCTTGGGGAAACAGCAGGTGATGGCCCAAGTGTTTAGGCTCTGCTGCTGCTGCAGCCATTTGGAGAGTGAACCATTGGATAGAAGATCTCTCTCTCTCTCATTTCCAACCCTGCCCCTTGTCATTTTGCCTTTCAAATAAATAAATCCTCAAAAAAACCCACAACATTCTTATTAGTGTAGAAAATCCCCACCCCACAGTGCCTTAGAACAAGAAGCTGAACTTACCTTTAGCAAGATTTATGGATACAAAATTAACATACAAAATTAATTCTATTTTTATACTAGCTGTGAAAAATAGAAGCTCAAGGTTTTAGAAACTACACATGTAGTAACTAAGAATCCTTGGAAATCTAAACAATGTAATTATCTACTAAAAATCTATGTGCTAAACACTATAAAGTGTTAATGAAAAAATTCAAAGAGGCTCTTAAGAAAAAACAGTCCTGTGACATCTCAAGGATTGAAAGACTCAACATAGTTAAAATTCATTACAGAGCGAACATAATTTCAATCAAAATCCCAGCATGATATTTTATAAAGTGATAAGGTGATTCTGAAATTTGTATAGAAAGGCAAAGAAATTAAAATGATTGAAATACTTCTGAAAAACAAAACCAATTTAAAGAAATCATGCTACTTGAGTTTAACATTCACTACAAAGCTAGAGTGATTGATAAGTGCAGTCTGGTAAAAGAATAAACATAATGTATAATGGAATAGAACCAGTGACAGGAAGTAGATTCCCTCAAAAGCTCTCAGTTGGTTTTTAACAAATGTGCAAAGTCGATTCACACTCAGTACAGAAAGGATAATCTTGCAACAAATAGTGTTGAAACAACAGGACAACCAGTTATTTTATATGTCTAAAAATGAACCTCGAGCTAAATCTCATGTTATTAAAAAATCAGCTCACAGTGGGCTACAACTCAATTTGCAAAACATCAGAGTCTTCCAGAACCGCGTGGAGAACATCTTCTTGATCTGGAATTATGCAGAGGTGCTTACACACTTCACTCAAAGCAGGATCCTTAAATAAATAGTTGATAATTTGGACTGCATCAAAAGCAAAAGCTTTTGCTCCACAAAAATCACCATTAAAAAGAATGGAAAGTCAAGCATACTGGAAGAAAATATTTGCAAATCACATACGTGACAAAGGATTTATACTCAGAATAAACATAGAGCTCTCAAAAGTCAAGCACAGAACAAATAATTCACTTTGAAACAGCGCAAAGCTTGAACAGATGTTTCACAAAAGAGAACACACAGGAGGAAAACAACACGAAAAAATTTCAACATCATTAGTCATTCAGGAAATGAAAACTAATGCCTCAAAGAAATACCACCATACAAGGGATTTCAAAAAATCTGTGGAAAATGGAATTAAATGATGAGTTCATTTTGGTGCTAAAATGTTTTGAAACCTATGCATAGTTTTTTTTAAATAATACACATTTTTCATGAACTTTCAGCAGACACATCCTACATCTATTACAATGGCTAGAACTGAAGAGAAAAAAAGTAAAAGCAACAAAATACCAAATGCTGGTGAGGATGGGAAGAGCTGAGGTCTCAGGTGTTGCTGTTGGGAATGCAAAATGGTGTACGCACTCTGGGAAACAGTTGGTAGTTTCTTATAAAATGAAACAGAATACTGATCACTGGAGATAGTATACCATCTCTATTTATTCTAGTGAAATTAAAGCTACAGTAACAACAGCAGCAAAAACAAACCTGATCCTAAATGCCTGTGCAAGCGGTTGCCATAACTGCCAAAGACTGGAAATGATTGAAATGCCCTTTCACAGATGACTGAACAAACAGGCTCCATCCAATCCATAAAATGGGTTCTGTTCCCCCAGGATAAACAAACTATTGAGACACTAGTTTGGTGAATGGCACAAGAATCCTGTAAGGTGAAAAGAAGCCAGCTTTGAAGTTTTGGTTCTACAGGCAATCAGATGACTGCACTGATCTGACATTCTTGGAAGGAGACAAACACAAATAAGACAACTAGGCAGTGGTTGCCACTGGCTAGGGTGGGGAGGGCCTGATTTCCCAAGGAGCAGAAGGGAGTATGTGGAGGTGAGGAAGTGCTTCCACCTCCTGGTGCCAGTGGTGATGAGACAAAGCTACACATGCATCCAAATGCACACCTATACCAAAAGTCCGCTTTTCTGTATATTAAAATTTTAAAAACAAAATTAAGAAAAAAATTGATAATACTTGCCTTCCATTTAAAACTGTTTAGAAACCACTAACAATGCCTGCACTAGTGAGAATATCAGCAACCACAAGCATGGTGTTCTACTGTTCTGAGATCCTGTATGTGCCGCTCCCTTCAGGAATCTTAAATCATAATTTCAATATCTGCAACTACCCTGTAAAGTTGGTTTGGCTAAATTTACAGAAAACGCAGGTGAACAGAGGAAAACAGTAAATGGGTGAGTTTGATCTTGAACCCCACTCACTGCCAGTCTCAACTTATTTCTCCACCCTGCTGGTCATTAAATTAACACGGCAGGGGAAACAGGTAGGAATACACAGAATCTGAAGAGCGGGAGGTAGGCATCTCATTTGGCTCAATTTACCAAGAAAGTTGTCTAAGCACATTTCATTTTAAACCTTGAGTTTGAATTTCTGAACAATTGAAGGAAATTTTAAAACTATTTTCTTGCCATTGTTTTTTCTTATCCTCTAACTTGTGGAGGATTTTCTTCTTCATTTCTTTAAAGATTTATTATTATTATTGTTATTATTTGGAAAGGTAGAGTTAGTTATACAGAGATGGACACACACACAGAGACATGCACACACACACACACACACACACACACACACACACACACACACACACACACACACATTTGGGCCGCTTCCCAAATGGCTACAGCTCCCTCTGGGTCTCTAGTGTGAGTATAAAGGCCCAAGGAACATGGGTCATCTTCCTCTGCTTTCCCAGTGCATTAACAAAAGAGCTGGATTGGAAGTGGAGCAAGTGGGACTTGAACAGATGGTCATATGGGTTATTGGCATTGCAGGCGGCAGTTTTATTGATTATGACACAATGTTGGCCCCAGTTCCTAATTTTCCATAGGGCTGAAAAGATATTTTCGTTTGTACAAGTGTCTTATTCTCCCCCATATGACAAACAATAATGTGACTTAGGATCCCTGAAGCATTTACTAACGCTACAAACGGCAGTCTATGCATTTGAAGTCAAGAATCATTATAATACATTTCCCCTCACATACCTGGTTCTAGAAAGGTGTAACGGATTCTCCCCTCATCTCCTTGTCATCACCATCATCAAAATAATTTACTAAATAAAAGTACTCATTGTAAAAACTTTAATTTTTGCTTCATCAACTATACCTGTATCAAACATCATATGGACAGTGCATACTTCTCATGTAGCAAGTGAAATGCTTTTGAAAAGACTGAAAATGAATTTTGTCTTCTTTCTTATTAATTATGTCCGATTATTTTACTGGATACTCAGATATTTCATTTCCACTAAAAACTTTATCCTTATTTTTGTGTCAGTTAAGACAGAAGATGAGGTCTGACATAAATTTATTTTCATGAATTTTCTGTTATTTTCTCTAATATAGCTTCTTAAAAATCATTACTGTTAAGCCTTGACTCAGTATCTGTAGGACTTAACACATAATAAAGTCTATTTAATTACTTATGCATTTTTACTGTAGAGATTTGGGCAGTCTATTCCACACTCAAAACAAAAGTCAGAAATAATTTCATTTTCTTCTACTCCGAAATGGGCCAAATACAGAGTACTACTGTTGTCAGGAAATGGGGTCTTCTAGGCAGGTGGGATGGGGGGTATGAGGGAGTAGGCTCACCTTCCAGCAGGTCTCTGGCCAGACCAGGTTCTGCCCCTGTGGACCGAACAAAGTCTGACAGGACTGCGTCCATATCAAGAGTCATAGGATCATGTAGAAGTGCTGCCCAGCACTCAGCCGAGGTGGGGTTTGGAAGCAGACTAGAAACCATCCATCTGTGGGAAAGAAGAGAAAAGGCATCTCACCAATGATGCAGATGAATAAATGAGACTTGACGGAGGAAATGCATCATTGCCACCTGTGGCTACACAACTGCCTTGGGAGAACTTCCTTATTCTTCATGGAAGATACTGTGCCATAAAAATCAAACTAAAATGCCATTCCTCCACACATGCCAAGAGGGACTAGGAATGCCATGGTCACAACATTTGTGACCCCTAAAAAATCATAGGTCGAAATTTGACCCTCATGATGATGGTGTTAAGGGGTGGGATTTTTGGTGATTAAATCACAGGGCCCTTAGGAATGGGACTTACGCCCTGATAATAGTAGCCCAAGGCAGACCTCCTGCTCCTTCTCCACTGAACAGAGTGAATGGTGCCATCTATGAGGTTGGAAGTGGACCTCAACAGAACCCAAATCTACTGGTACTATCATCTTAGACCACTTAGCCTCTACAACTGTGAGAAATATATTTCAGCTACTTGGAAGCCACCTAGATTAAGGTATTTTGTGACAGCAGGCTGTTCAGACTAAAGCAAGTTTCCTTCAGTAGTTCTAATACCTTTGGCTTTAAATTCTGTTAATTCTAATAATAACTGGAGTGCATTTGTGTGTGTTTATGTGTATGTTTTGGGGGAGATAGGCATGAATATTTAAAAAACCCCAAATATTTCAATACTAGACTGTTTAGATTAATTTGGAGTCATTCAATTTCTAATCCTCTTTCAGATTATAGATATGTTATAATTTCATGATGTAATTGCATTATCCACCACATCCAAATGTTGCTAACATTAACATGCCATCCCGTCAACCTCAGACCTGACCCTTCCTCCAGCTCTTATGAAAAACTCCAGGCCAATTCAGTTGAATGAAATCCAAATTTGCTGAAAGTGATGACTAAACTATTTGCTATCTCTCTAAGAGTTGTCATATTCACAATGACAATATGTCAAAATTTATTAGGAAGCCAAATTTCCTAGGAAGAATAATCTCAGTCAGAAAGCTGCAATGGACATCTGGCAACTTGACCCTATGCTGACAATGGCAGCAACTGTTGGGGAAAAGCAAACATCACATCACATGTGGGAATGACTCACTTTAGTGAACCCATTCTGGGGTCACTGGGCTGAGTCATGGTTGATCAAACGCAAATGCCAGCTTGTGCTGGCAAAAATAAGCGACAAGCAAATTACGGCCTATGGGCCTAATGTAGTCTATCACTGGTTCTGGTGAAAAAGAAAAAAAATGTATTGGAACACAGCCATACCCATTCATGTACCTATTGTCTATGGGTGCTAGTGCCCATGACTGAGTTGAGCTATAAAAATACGCCATAAGACCTACAAAACTAAAAAGATTGGTTGCCTGAACATTTCTGGGGAGTTTGCTGAACCCAGTATAGATGAGGATACTTTTTCACCAGCAAGGAGGTAAGTGATCTTACAAACTAGGCAGTGTGTTTGATGTCTTTGCCAGTGAGGGCAGACTGTTCTTTCATAGTCACCATAGAGATGTGTGTGCTTAGTGCTTGTGTTTTAGAGGTGGGCATGTAGGCCTAGCCTGGGCACCAGCTCCAAGTCGGACTGGCTGTGATGTGTGCTTCACCTCTCTGTGCCCACATGCGTCTCTACACAGAGAAATAAGCTCATGCAACTCGGCAAATTAAGGCTGGGAGAACTGAGTGTCTCAGACACAGTGATCTGTAACCTTAGGCAACCTGATTATGATGGCATTTGGTTGTACAAGGTCCTATGTGGGTGTAATTTTGGTTCATGTGGCTAGAAACAGGAAAATGTTTAACCTGATGTTTATGGAACCCGTTAGGAAACTGTCTTCTTCCTTCCCTCCATGCACCGGAACCTCGGCTGGGAGAAGGTCTTCCGTTGCTGCCACCTGGGGGATAAACGGGAGAACAAGAGCATGTGAGTTTCTGTACCTTCAGTCCCAGTGTGCTTCCTACTGGACAAGGCACACCCTCTGCCTTCCTGGGCCCTACAGGCACTTGCCAGCTAGCTGGGCATCTACTTCCACATGCAGGGGGCTTACAGAAGCTGTATGTCAAGTTTTTTTTTTTTTCAGTTTGGCAAGTCCTTATATACCAAAGAGAATCATGTTTACAGACTAGAGCTTTTTTTAAACCTTATTATATTGTCAACACAATAATTTCAGCTATTATGGTAAAATATACAAAACATGAAAATGACAATTTCAGCCACTTTTAGGTGTATAGTCCAGTGATTTGAAAATGCACCCACATCCATCTCCAAAACCTTTTAAACTTCCACAATTGGAATTCTGCATCTGTTAAGCACTAACTCCCTCTCTCCTCAGCCTCTGACCACAACTCCAACTCTACTTTCTATTTCCATGAGTTTGACTCCTCTAGGTACTTCTAGGTATCTCTAGGTAAGTGGAACCATGCAGGATTTATCCTTTTGTCACTGGCTTATCTCACTTATCATGAGGTCTTGGCATTAATGTTGTAGCACGTGCTAGATCTTCCTATTCCTTTTAAGGTTGAATAATGTTCTATTGCATGGACAGAGCACATTATGTTAATCTATACATCCATTGCAATCTCAGTTGTTTTATATGCATACCAGGTTGCTAGGCTTTCAACTTGACAAATGATCATCAGCATTAGAGCCATGTGTGTTCCTATCTTCTCCACTATATTTTGTCCTTAACACAGAGATGGTATGTAGGCTTAAAATGATGTATGTGTGTGTGTCTGTGTGTATATGCATGTCTCTGTGTGTGGCAAGAAGCTACTGTAAATTTCAGACTCAAGACTTTTTAAATCTACTATGCCACAACTTAGATTTCATAATCATGCCCAGTGGTGTTAGAGCCCAATGGGTAGAGATGGGTCAGGATGCACCTGGTTGACCTTTCCCAGGGCCACTCCATCTGAAATCCATTGCTGTGCCTTTGACCTGTCCTTCCTGAGCCAAGGCACTCCCTGGTTGGCTGCTAGCACCAGGCTCAGGCTGGCTGAGTTTCAGCTCTATTCACCTAGCATAAAGGCACAGGGCCTTTAGATGTCCCTCAGCCACTCTGGGGAATGGGTATGTCAGGCTCTCCTCACTGTGATAGTACCTCACTGTGCTCACTGTGCTTAGGACAGGCAGTGCAGTGAACCAGCCTCCTAGGACCAAAACAGCATTGCAAACTTATTGTGTGACCATGGCCATGCTATTTCATCTCTGTACACCTCAGTTTTTTCATCAGTAGAACAATAACAGTAATACTACCTTATAGTTATCATGAAATGTAATAAGTTAGTGCATGAATGCACTGGCATAGAGTACTTGTAGACATGGGCCCCAATTCAGTCCTTGCTGTCCCAAGTTTCCACCTAGAAGCAGAACTGCTGCCCCCATACCACTGAGTGACAGGCCGCCATTGCTGGGGACCCAAATGCTGCCCCAGTGTCCTCGGCAGATAGGCAGCAGGCAATGCCAGTGAGTGTAGAACTTGAATACAGAACGACATGAATTCTAGCCAAGAATGCCAGGTGCACGAAACTCCCTGATGTACTGATGCTCAGACATGCAGGAAAGTCTGTACATTTTCCCTGTACCTTCTCTCTGGCTTTGCTCCAGTGCCAAATGTGAGGCAGAAGATGGGGTGACCAACAAATGCACAATGGATGGCTGATGGAAAGTCTTGGAAAGGAAGGTCAGAAGCCCATCAGAGCCTCAGTCCTCTTCCTGCAAACTACAGGTGCTGGCAGGTGAGTAAAGAAAATTTCTGTATTTGCTATGGCTTTGTAAAATTCTGAGACAGGCGAGTAGTGCATTAAAAACTGGTGAAAATGAAATGAAATGAAAACTGATAAAAAACAAAACACAGATTCATTGCTGCCTTTTATTTCTACATATCCATGGATCTGCCATTCTCTGGATTCTTAGAGGTCCTGAGAAAAAAGACAACAGAAAAGGGTTTCATTCAAGGGCACACTGGCTAAAAATCCTTACCTTGCATGTGCTAGGGGAGTAGTAACCAGTGGTGGCACAAACCAGGCTTGGGCCACAGACCATCTCTTTGACAAAGGCAACCAGGTCCTTCTGTCAGTCATGTTTATGTATGAGAATCACTATACATGTCCTAAGACCAGGATACCTGGAAGGCACCCTCCTAAACTCAGTTCGCTGGATAACTTTCATATTTTTGGGTGGTTCTTTTTATTACCCACCTTTACATGTGAGGGTACTTGAAGTTTTGGGAAGAGATAAGACTAGCCCCAGACTGTGGGACACAGACAGATGTGCCTGGGCATATACATGCCACACTCCTTGTTTGTCTCACTTCTGTTTCAGCAGAGTTCAGGTAAAACATGTTTGCATTATATTTGCCTGCAGATCTTATAGCCAGCAAGAGGAAGGTGATGTGGGGCTGTGTGTGTGGAGCCAGACTGCAAGTTAAGGGCAGCGGCTTGCGGCCTGACCACTTGGGGAAGATTAAAGATCAGGGAGCCTCTTGTCCATTCATCAAGGCCTCGTGTGTAGCATCCCTCCCAACAGAGGTCCATGTGCCTGAGGTCTCTGGTTTACTCTGGTCTCTTTCACTGTCCAGGTTTCACAGTGTGTGGCCCACAGGAGGGCCCAGGCCACACAGGTGAAATAGATATGGCACCTTCCAAACATAAGGAAGTCAAAAGAAACAGAATTTTAATGATTCTGAAAAATTAGTGCAAAAAAAAAAGGCAAGATCAGCTTTACATTCTGCCTTTTCCTCAGACTCTGCAGTCCTGGGGAGCTCTGTTGGGAATATATGTCACAACTGGAGTGACTGACACTATGACAGGGCCAGCTCAGGTCAAAGTGATATAAGTGTGGAGCAGGAACTTGCCACTTCTGTCTTATGATGCAACTCAGTGGACACAGGTATCAGGGCACAGAGGAGAGAACAGATGTGGGGTTGAGTCAAAGACCTGGCTGGGCTGAATGCTCACAATGTCCTGGCCACAAGACTCCACTTCTTTAAGGCTTTGCTTCCTCATCTGAACAATGAGGATGTTAAAGACCCTGCCTTTTACTTGCTGTGAGGATGAAGTGAGATGATACATAAAGTGAGATGATACATACACACACTTTTATCATTATTACCAACATCATTTCAAACAACTGAGCAACTGCATTATTTTGGCATTGACAAACTGTCCTCTATCACCCAGACATGTCTACATGGATATTTCAAGAAGCTTGAGGAAAAATAGAGTTAAAATATAGGCTTATTTTCACACAAAACATTTTTGAAAATCATGCATAGATTTTTCAACTTTTTGAGACTCCTTTCACCTTCCCATTGTGAATGATCAATTTTGTACTGCATGGTGAGGAAGCCCACTCTAACGAGGAGCTCACTATGGGGTTCAGTGACTGTACTAGCTCAGATGTCAACACCTGGCTTTCCCGGAGTCTATATGGTCCATCCTTTGCCAACTGCCATTGTGACTTGGCAAGTGCATTGAACTTTGGGGATACAGAAGTCTGTGGATGTCGTTATAGTTACATGCTTCTTCCAGGGCATTTCCATCGCTCAGAGGAAAGTTAGGAGAATCCAATGTCTATTCTAAATTATTTTTTAAAAATCTATTTATTTTATTATTTTGTGATATGGTCTGTGGGCTCTTGAATTTCCCTTCCCTCCTTTCCAAACCTCCACTGCACCACTGATTTCCTCAATATCGTTAACAATAGTTTAGTCCTTCACAACTGTCATAAGTCTGCAATTCTACTATTCAAGTACATCCTGACACCATAGCTATGGGCAGTGGCAGACATCCTACTGTGCAACATCCTACTGTCAATATATTTGTTTCACCGGGAGTCCATGTTTGATTTGAAAGCAGAGATGCGTTGTATCCCCACATTTGTATGTGATGATCTCTATTACACAGCTACTATACATCTCCTTAAATGAAAAGCCATACAACAAAATCAACAGGAAGAAAAACCAGAAAATTAACAACAACATGAAGTTAAATAACATGCTACTGAATGACCAATGCATCACTGAAGAAATGAAAAGGAAAATAAAAAACCTTATTGAAGCAAATGATGCTGCTGTGTGGCCTATGAGTCAATGAAAACATTAATGTGACAAAATAGGAAATGACAAAAAAAAACCCTTCTGAGATGTAGCATAATTTCTTTAACCACTCCTCTTTTGATGGGTTTCTGGGTTGTCTTCATGTCTTTGCTATTGCAGATTGTGCTGCTATGAATATAGGACTATAGATCCCTTTCTCATACACAGATTCCATTTCCTTTGGATATATTCCCAGAAGTGGAATAGCTGGGTCATATAAAATCAATTTTCAGTTCTTTTAGCACTCTTCATACTGACTTCCATAGTGGTTGTACTGGCCTACACTCCCACCAACAGTGAAGGGAGGTACCATTCTCCCCACATCCATGCCAGCAGGTGTTGTAAGTCGAGTTCTGAATGTAGGCCAATGTCCCTGGAGTTAGGTGGAACCTCAATGTGGATTTCATTTGTATTTCTCTGATAGCTTAGAGAACCTGAGCATTTATTCATATGTCTATTAGGCATTTGAATTTGTTCTTTTGAAAAACGTTGATTTCCTTTGCCCCTTTCTTTATAGGGTTTGTTTGTCTTGCTGTTACATTGAGTTACAGAAACTCTTTGTAAATCCTGGATATTGGCTATCCCTATCTGTTGCGTAATATGCAAAGATATTCTCCCATTCTGTTGGTTGCTGCTTTACTTTGTTAATTGTTTCCTTTGCTGTACAGAAGCTTCTCAGCTTGATGAAGTACAATTTCCTTATTTTGGCTTTTACTGTGCTTTTGGTGACTTTTCTAAGAAGTCTTTCCTAATTCCTATATCTTGGAGAGTGCTTCCTATGTTTTCCTCTAATA